TTTGCAGTCAGAGCTCAAAAAGGAAGAGAGCACAGCTCCTCTGCTAAATCAATATTTAACTAACAGCCTGCTCCATACAGATATGTAAATATCCCACAACCAAGTAATTAAAAAAGCTCAGCTCTGTTATCAGGCCTGGACTTCGTTAGAACACCACCTCAGACCATCTTCCACAGATTTTTTGATTCACAGGGCTGCAAACTACGTATACATTAAAGCCAACCTTATGGTCATGGCTTACCTGGAAAGCCCAACCATCTCCCCTCCACTGTAGCCCTGTCACTACAACCCAGAAGAGGCGGCGGCCTCAACGTGAGCCTTGTTCCCCACCACAGAGGCACTCTTGAGAGTTTTGATTAAGAAAGTATTCCGGAAGACAGACGGGTTTTCCTAACGGTGAGGACAAGGAGGCAGCGGACCAGGGCTCTGCTGATCAGCCCCCCTCCCTCCCTAGGGCAAAGCAGTCTGGGGAGCTGCAGGAATCCCCCAACGGAAAGGGGGTAGCCTTCCCGAAAGCCATTTTCCTCCTCATCTCTGCTCCCGAATAACACCAGAGACATGAGATTATACATCCCATCACGATCTTTTATCCTCTCTAATGCAATCCTAGAGGTCCAAATACCTGTAGGGTCGGCTTTGCATTATCTCATGGCAGACTGTTCCACAGGTTAATTTTGCCTAGCAAATTTTGTTGTCAAGACAAATTATAGGGTTTCCTGCATGGCTCTAAAAAAAGTCAAACAGAATGAAAACAGTTAATCCATTGTGTAGGATGACATTTTAAAGCAAATGCATCATAGTTAAAATGTAACACCAGTCCTCCCCCCACCCCAAATAACCATCTTTCAACTGTTGCTAGCCCCAGAATTCGAGATAAAGACTTCTTGTATCAAAAGACGTTTTTACTGTTAGGAAAACCCGGTACCTCGGGACGGGGAGGAAGGTGAAGGGGTTAAGATCTGGCATCAGAAATACCAGATGTCTCTCTGGCTTATCAGATTTATAGATTTATTCTGTAAAAACCCTGAATATCTACTTCTGTTGGGGATGTTTCCCTCTATTTTTAGAACATGTCTGAATAGCTGCAGCTACATTTTTGCCTGGTGCATTAATAAACACACATACGTTACACATTTGGGAAAGACAGATCTAAAAGATCTGAAGTTTCTGAGGCTTAAGCCAGGCCGAGGTCACGCTGCCACCCCCTCTACTCCACACCATCCCTACCCATCTCTTGCACGCTCCTGTAATAAGCCACTTGGGGAAGCTGAAAAAGGGAGAGAAGCGATTCAGCGTCAGCTGGATCAGCCGCACAGCCCAAGCGGCATTTGGACAATCCTGTTTAAACAAACAGCAATGGATTAAAACTCTACGAATGGGCCTAGTCCATTCCTGAACTCACCTCAGCGTATTACATCCTTAACACTTGGCAGCAAAGAGTTGCACAGACCTACAGATGCGTTGCTGCTTTTCCCTGGGGACTACAAACTACGATTCTTGGTTGCTACCCAGCCCAGCACGCGGCCATCACTGGCCCATACTCGCGTGTAACTATTTGTATGCGATGTTGGTGCAAGTCTTAGGACTGTTTCTGTAAGAGCATCTGCATCCATTTTCTTTACCTGGGAAGCGGAGGTCGCACCTGAAGGAAGCCCACACACTCCAAAGACATCTGCTCTCTGAACTCAACCGCAGGCTCTGCCCTCTGCTTTTAACCTCTTCTAGCAGCGGCAAGAGCCCCCGCAGAACAGGAGCTGCTCCTGACGTCAAACTGAGTTACACCAAGCAGACAGCAACAGGGGTTAGTACGGTAAGAGTTGTTCCTGGCTGTGCCCACGGGGTTTGACAGGAGCTCTACCCCGCAAACCACACGCAGCCTGCAGCTGCTCTTTTGTATTAAAAAAAATGTTCACTACTACTTTGGTAGAAGCAGGTTGTTTTAATCTCCCAATTTAGTGTTTCCAGATTAAGGTAATTCCCACACTAATCCTGTTCCTTAAGAATCTGTAATTAATGTAAGAAGGATGCAGCTTGACCAGATTATATAAATAATTATACGAAAGATAATAATATCTACTAGAATATATGTAAGGGACGACATTGTTGTGGTTTAACCCGGCAGACAGCTAAACACCACCCAGCCGTTTGCTCACTCACCCCCCCGCAGTGGGATGGAGGAGAGAATCGGAAAAAAAAAAAAAAAGTAAAATTTG